TTGGCAGAAATACGTCCTATTAATAGAATCTCCCTTCAGGACCGGATTTACCTACTTGCCGCCCATGGGCCGCCTGTATTTTGCCGCCCCATCTCATTCGTTTTGAAACATCAATAAAAACCATAAAGTGAACGGAGCGGAGGGAGAGGGATGCATAAGACGCGTTTACTCGTGTTGGATGCATTTTTTGCTTAAGCCCTGTCAACACTACTAGCAAAAATTCACGGAACTTGGCGCGAAAGTTAAGTTCCGTAAACCTGTCTCTGTGTGGACAATGCCTCCCATTAATAAGAAATGAACGAAAAAATTATGAAAGAACAATCATAAATGTGGTTCAATAATTTCAACCTCCAACGCTGCGCCGTGCTGATCGCTCTTTGTTTGGCGCAATGCGTGAAGTATTCCTACACTCTTGTAGGCGCTATGCCTTTCATGCCGGCCACTGCTGAACGCACTGTGTTTGACGCAATGTGTGAAGTATTCATGCAGTCTTGTAGGCGCCATGCGTTACACGGCGACCGCTGCTGACCACACTGTGTTTGACGCCATGCGTGAAGTATTCATGCAGTCTAGTAGGCGCTAATATGTGTTACATGCCGACCGCCACGCTGAGGACCTCTCCTTTTCATCTCAAGTCCTCGTCATCATTGCTCTTGCGCTGCGCCGCTCCAGGCCAAATTGCGTGTTTGGTTTCTCTCTCAACTAGACTAGTGAAAAGGCAGCCAATCTTCTGACACAAAAATGTCACCGACAAAATTCAGATTCCAATATCAGACCAAACGGCCAAGAATGTTCACAAATGAGCGTTCTGGCCGAATTGCGTGTTTGGTTTCTCTCATAACTCGACTAATTAAAGGTGCTGTCTTTTGTATCACCGCAAAACGACAAAATTAGAAATTACGATACTCACAGGAAATGCAAGATTTTGTCGCCTTTTCCCCTTTGAAATTTTATTTTTATACCTACATTTTTTTTTACCTCGTTTTTTTTTGCATATCCTCACGAGTATAACAAGACTGAAAACACTTATTTCCAAAAACTAGTTCGGGCGGAACGAGCTCTGGAAGAAGTGATGATTTCTGATCTATTTGTTTCCGTCTATGTAAATCAGCCCCTCTTTGCCATGTTTCTTATTATTTTAAGGGCAGTTCTACATGGATTTTTGAAAAAATTGTGAATTTCGTTTTTTGGGCTCATTTTTTTTTTTTTGCATATCCTCACGAGTAAAACAAGACTGAAAACACTTATTTCCAAAAACTAGTTCGGAAGGAACGAGCTCTGGAGGAAGTGAAGATCAACGCGTATTATCATTAAATCAGCTATCAACTGTTATTCTTATCAAGTTCTCCGTAAGTCAGGATTTTTCAAACAAAATGTACCTTTTCTCAGGTTCTAGTAGGCCTTTCTTCAAAAACTTTTGTTTGATTTTTTGTACTTTTCTGCACTCTTCAACACGGGTTTTTCTCGAAAAATTAATTTTTCAAATTTTGAAGAGACTTTAAAGTCAATATTTTTTTAAAAAAAAATTATTACCAAATGAAAAAATTCATAAAAATTTGAATTTTCAAAATTTTGGAAAACCTCCGTGTTAAATTCATCCCGAAGGTGTCAGGAAGCCAACGAAATAAGCCGGATGGAAAAAAATCCGGTGGATTCTGAGAAAAAGAAAATTGAAGTTGGATAAATTAACATGGGTTAGTATAGGAAGTCCCCAGTGGCGTGGCGTGCTTTGCGATATATCGATTGTTATGCCATATAAACCTATGGAAAAGGATCGATAAACAGGGTGTTCGCAGCGAACACCTTAATAATCGATTCTTTACCATAGGATTAAATAGCATAACAATCGATACATCGCAATTCACGCCACGCCACTGGAAGTCCCCTTAACCCGATCCGACGCAATACTACGGTTTTCGCGTCCGCAAAATCGGGCTACTTCGACGAACCAAACTGCAAAAAACTTCCTCGCGGTTCCCTGGAAATTTATTTTCGCCCTGCTAATTTTGGGTCTGCCTCCCCGGCTCACGTCGCGACCTGTGACCCGGTTTCGCTGCTGGCGGCTCGTTCCTTTGAACACCGAAGCATGACTTTTCCACAGGCCCAATTTGTCGTTTCTCAAATTGCCCGCCAGGGGCGCCACGCTCGGCTGAGTCCCACTTTTCGCGGGGGTGAGCGTTCCTGGTCACGGTCCTCTACGCGCCGAAAAACGCGGAGTCGTCGAGGTAATAACTTCATTATTGTCGGCCTAATCTGAATCTCCGTTGCGCTCGAGACTGGTGTGTTAAGTGAGAACCACGTATCTCAGATGGGGACTTTTAGTAGAATTGCGGTTTCACCTAAGCAAGGCAGAACGTAGAAAACCATGCTCGAATGGAACGGAACATATGGTTGTAGTTCGTCAGGATTTGTGTTGGACGGTCCTCAGTATTTAGGGCAGGTATTTCGTAACGAACTTTTTCCAATTTTCGACGGCACATCCTCCCCTCCCCTCCAATGTAACAAAAACCCGGATCATTGGAACAATCACAACACCCGGATTTTGAATCGTAATACTTTTTGTAGAGTACCCGCTCTAACTTTCATCGGTAAATCTATGTTTTCCGCACAAGAACGGGTTGTGTTTCTACAAGGGAACAAGCTCATTTTTCAGATATACCCTGAGATCCGCAAGAATACTAGCGCTATAGAGCTAATCTAGAAAGTAGACTCGTTCCTTTTAGAAACAACCTGCTCGTTCAAGTAATTCAGAATTTCAAATTTTCGAAATTTTTCGAATTTTGTCAAATGGAGGTACTGAATTTTTCTGTTGAGGATAATGTACTGTATTATTTGAGAATACACTGAAGAAGTACTGTTAAAGTACTGATTTTTGGCGTTTGGTTGATCTTACCGAAAAAAAGTTACTCAAAGGAACCCAAAGTAACTATAAACACGGAAAATTTCAATTTTTAACTGTGCAGGGAAGCTACCACTAACTCGATTCAGCCTGTGTTACGCAGGCGTGGAAGTGGTGGTGATGGTACAAGTGTAAGGGACCGCTCGTTACGCACTCTTCGCGGCACGGCGTCGGCGTCGCGTGTAATTGTCGTGGGTTTCGAGTCGGTTTTCTTGACAAATTGCCCCTCGCTCCGGTTCCCATGGCGGCCATGTTGGAACCTATCGCCGCTTCAAATCTGGCCGCGGCCCCGGAAGCCGGTGGGAAAACGGTGAGCTGGCCGCTGCGCCGCGCAGCAGCGCCGGAACTCGATCCGATTTTCTGATCGCGCCCGCCGCGCCAAGCTCAAATCACAGAAGTATGGAAGAAGGGGGCGTGGGGGACCTGGGGACCGCCCCCACATCCCTACCAGGGGACAAGTTCCGTTTCAAGCGGAAGATGAGTTGTGTTTTTTCGTCTGTTTCTCCTCCTCTTCCTCTTATTCTTCCTATTCGTCTACTCATTCTTCTTATTCTCCTTCTATCCCCTCCTCCTTCTCCTCCTCCGTCTTCTTCTCCTCCTTTTCCTCCTTCCTCCTCTCATACCTCTTCTTTAGCTGGGCCTTCCTCTTCTTCTTCCTATTCCCTCTGCTTCTTTTTCTTCTTCTCCGTCTTCTTCTTCTCCTTCTTCTTCTCCTCCTTCTCCTCCTTCTCCCCCTTCTCCTCCTTCCTCTGCTTCTTCTTCTTCTCCTGCTCCTTATTCTTCTTCTCCTCCTTCTTCTCCTTCTCCTTCTTCTCCTTCTTCTCCTTCTTCTCCTTCTCCTTCTTCTCCTTCTCCTTATTCTTATTCTCCTCCTTCTCTTCCTTCTTCTCCTTCTTTTCCTCCTCTTTCCTCCTCTCACACCTCTTCTTTACCTGAGCCTTCCTCCTCCTCCTCTTCTTCCTCTTCTTCTTCCTATTCCCTCTGCTTCTCTTTTTTCTTCTCCGCCTTTTTCTTCTTCTTCTCCCTTTCCTTCTCCCTCTCCTTCTCCTCCTTCTTCTTATCCTTCTCCTCCTCCTCCTCCTCCTTCCTCCTCTCCCACCTCTTCTTTAGCTTGGCCCTAGCCTAGCCGAAGCTGTATCAACCATCAAGATAAGGTTCTGTACAGTCGTTTACTCAATTTTTTTAAAAATATATATAAAGTGGGATTTCGGAGAAGAAAAATTTCCATTCGTCGTATCGCATCCTCGAGCAATCTTACCAGGGTTGCCGCCGTCAGGAAAAACGATGAAAGTGTCAGGGAAAAATCGTTGATTCGCCTTTATTTCCTCTTTAAAAGGAGTTTGCCGTTTTGACCAACCAATTTTGCCGGAAGACTTTTTTAACTTATGTCTTTTTAATCATCTAGCGTATCTTCAACTGTCCGGGAATTTTACCTCAATGTGCTAGAGAAATCAGGGAATTTTATTTTCTAGATTTTGTGGCAACCCTGGCTTACCTATGCAGACTTGTAAGTTCTACAGAACTGGGTCAATGCAATGATAGAGGGACCTTTTCTTCTGAAAGTGGATGAAAAACTAGATAGCCAACGTATGAAAAAACTAGGAAATTATCAGCGTGTAACGGCTAGCTCCTGGTCGGCTCTTTTGAAGCTGATGTCTATGTGTTGTTAGTCTGATGACCAAGTGATAACCTCAAAGTGTCAGCGATAAGTTATCTGCAAGCAATACTCTCACTAATTTCGAATAAAATGCTGTTAGTAGCCGTCCATAAATTACATGATGTACTTTTACGGCATTTTTGACCACCCCCTCCCTCCTTGTAACGCTTTTGTAACGTACGTCCCTATCCTTTAACACGTAAAAACAAAATGGCGTAACGCTCTTCTCGACCCCCCCCTCCCCCCTATAACGTCACGTAATTTATGGACGGCCCTAACTTTGTTACGGCCTCAAGTATAGTATTTTCCCCATTTTTGGCCCTCATGGTCATGCCCATAGCCCGGCTTAGTTTCAATTTGTTTCGAAATTTGAACGATAGTCGATTTGAAAATTGAAATAAGAGGTTGTTTGATCTAATTGTTTCTTTTTTTATTGTGTTGCAGGAGGATACCCAAGTTCATCGCCTCATTTTTCGCGGGAGTATTATATCAAACCACGTGTTCTTCATGCCCGGGAAAAAAGGCACATTCACACTTCCAAAGTCCATCAGGTAAGACTCAGCTTCAGGCCATACCATCTTCAAAATCAATCAGTTCTTAATTGAATCAGTGAGAACGAAAACACACCAACTCGGTAACTCGAAAATACTCAATTTCCATTCAAGACAGTTAATTTACATAAAGGTCATTGAAGTTAGCGCGTCTATTCCAACTTAGATCTTGAAAGTGGCCATAAGTACTTGTCTTTCGGTAGCAAAAATATTTTTCTTAAACTAACTTTTTCACCTACTGTGCAGTTTTGTGTGCGTCTTAATTATTTTCATTTTTCCAAGTTGATGTGTTTTCGCTCTCATTGATTCAATTATTCACGCAAGTATAACGCCTGCGCAACCCGCAACAGTATGCAAGTTCAAATCGTGCATGTGTTGTAGATGATCACCAATCGCTTGCAAATTGCAATTTATTTGAGCTCAGGGTGTCTACTAGTCTAGAATTTCCGAAAATCTGGAAGTAGTGCTGATTTTTTGAAGGCGGTCCGAAAGTACTAAAAAAGTGCAGGAATTCCGTACGAAGGTCCGGGATTGCGCGTAATGAAATGTGACCTCAGTTGGGTTCGGTTAGGTCACGCAACTAAACGAACTTCCCGGCAAGGCGAAAGGTATCACCTTCATTTGAAGGCGCTCCGAGCCGAGGTGAAATCAGTGACCTCAGTTGGGTTTGGTTAGGTCACGCAACTAAACCAGCTTCCCGGCAAAGCGGAATGTATCGCCGTAATTGAAGGCGCTCCAAGCCGATGTAAAATCAGTCACTTCAGTTGGGTTTGGTTAGGTCACGCAACTAAACTAACTTCCCAGCAAAGCGGGTATCACCGTCATTTGAAGGCGCTCCAAGCCGAGGTCGTGCTTTCGAAGTTCTTTACTCTTCATCAATAAAAACTCGAGTATTCCAACGCGAATTATTGCAAGTTGATGAGTTAAGACGCATTCCGCTCACAAATTGCCAGCGATTAACTGCTTGCAGGCGGTTTCATCGAAGGGAATAAAATGGCACAAAAAATTAATTGAATCGCAGCTGTGTATGCAGTTTTTAAGCAGCATATCTCTCCCGGCGAAAATCAAATTTCAACTAAATATATTCAGCGTATTCAGCGTACGGAAATTTGAGTTTGGTTCTTTGCGTTGGGTCTCGTAGACCTAAGAATTTTCAAACTCGATTAACTTTCATAGTGCATGTCCGTTGATCTCGTTTTATTAAATGCTGTCCGTGCGTGTGGTTTCTGAAAAAAAAAATATATACGTACTCGTGCAGCTCGTCTAATAACTTTTTTCATACTAAATAATAATATTCGAAAGGAAGAATTTGCAGCATGGGTATCATTTGTGGCCTGGAGCACGTGCAAACGAATGATCGATGGAATTCGTTTGGAACGCCGGTACGTCCGGAGTTTTGCACACTGTTGCCCAGTTTAGCAACATATTATTGTAATTTAAGCCGCGACGATTTAAAGTCATCCACTGATAATTGCCATCGGTTTAATTCGCCCAGTGATGACTGATAAAATAATGTCGGAGTGAGCTCTTTCACAGGCGAGTTTATGCGTATTGCTCAACTCTTCGTTCATAAGTCATCATTTGGTGATTGCCGGCTTCCCTGTAAAATATATCGCATCTGAATTCACTCAGGTGAAGATTTTCAGTATGCGCTACGTTTCCGGAGTTCGAACCCCGGAGTCCCGATTCACGCGAAGCTGATTCACCGCGCGCCCGCAAGTCCTGCAGCCGCCATGAAATCCTCCGCGAAAAAAAGTGACCACCTCATCTAAAAATGTAGCCACCCAGGGTGGCCAAATTTCATGAAAAATAAAACTTTGAAATTTCACGGGGAATATTTCATGAAATTCCAGAAATTTATGAAACATATTGAAAAATACCGGTTCTTTTACATGTTTCGCAAAATGTGAAAATCGGGACTTTCTCCTATTTGTGTGTGTTCAAGTGCGGGTTGCATACCCTAGCCCCTGAAAAATATGAAAAATTTCACAGCCTCGTTAAATTTCATGAAATATTTCACTGAGATTTCCAATCTTTCCAAGCTCTTTCAAGTGTTTTCCAAATTTTTCCTGAGCAGTTTGTTGTACGGCAAAACGTTACTACGGATCTTTTTGTTTCCATTGACATTTAAAAACCACCTAGCGCGACCCAAACCAAACAAAAAATTCTTTCTTACGGTTCACGCCACCCTGTAACCACTGCACAATCAGAGATGGAAAGTAAATTGCACGTTTTGAAATTTCATAAGGCTCAAATAAATTTCACAGAAGTTGAAATTTATTAATTTTTTTTAGAATTATCAATTAAACCTTTGGAGGTCTGAAAGCGTTTCAGGTTGTCTTTCTGTTGATGCTGCGGTATTATGCTACTCTACTGGGGGTGCCAGACACAAAGGGGGGGGGTGTAAGAAGGGGAGTTTAGAGAGAAAAACCCCCCCTCTAAACAAAACAAAAACATTTGCAACGCGCGAATGTTTTAGGCTTGTGGTAAAAAATTTCAAAATTTAGAATCACTGTTTCTAGGCGTTTCTTGGCATCCTGGATGCATCCCCAAAAATTTCAAAAAATTTAATGAAATTTTCCATCTCTGCGCACAATGCATTCGGAATATCGTAAAAGGACCATTCTTTTCCCCGCGACCTTCGGTCCGACCCTCCATCCTCGATCCCGAATAAATCGTTCTTCGATCTCCCGCACCCGAACGTGCAGAGTATCGAAGTCCTGCGGGGTATCGATCTATCGATTCTCGAGCGAGTTCACCGGTGGCGTGGCGTGCTTTGCGATATATCGATTGATTTGCCATTTAAACCTATGGAAAAGGATCGATAAACAGGGTGTTCGCAGCGAACACCTTAATAATAGATTCTTTACCATAGGTTTAAATGGCAAATCAATCGATATATCGCAATTCACGCCACGCCACTGGAGTTCACCTCCTGCGCCCTCGTCGTTGAACCTTGACCAGTTTGCACCGGGGATCAGAGGCCGTGCGGAAGCCGCGCTAGCACGGAAATTGGCCCGCTTCCAAATGAAGATGTTCTCGCTCGGGGGACGGGGGATCGAGGGGGGGGGGGGGCGGGGGGGGGGGGGTGCTCAGCCCTCCGAGCCTAGCGCCTCATATTTCAACCCCCATACGAGCTGGATTTAAACCGATATCACTCTGGCGTCGGCCTTATCGATCAAGGGATGCCTCATTTAGTGGGGTTTTTTGTGAGCGATTCTCGGCCGCGTGCCACGTGCTTTTAGAGATGGGACTTCCGGAGCGATTCTAGGGCATTCGTGAATCCAGAGCACCTAAATATGTTAGGATTTTTTTTTCAACGAAGATTGTCCGGGAATTCTATCGTGAAGGCATTTTTTTTTCAAAAATCGTCGTTACCGGGCGAAGGAAAGCAACTCAATTCCAAGGTTGCAAAATTGACCAAAATAATGGAGCATTTGCAGGTGCCATGAAAGATGAATTTCGTGTTTAAAGGGAAACTACTGAGTGAATTGAACACGAGGATACCCTTCTTTTATAAACTGAACAACTAAAAGTAGCCTCTTATGTCGATTGAGTAATCTAATTTCTCAAAACTTCATTTTTGCTTTTACTGCTCTCTTCGCTATCACAGCAGTATTGGATTAAACATTCCTGCATTTCAGTTCGGTTTCAGACGATGGCAATCGGAGATTTTATCTCATTGCCAAGCGTGTCTAGCAATCTCTGTTTACCCGTTTGTGGAAAAATTGAAATTTGATGGTAACCGAGAACAATGATCTTTTGTCTTGAAATTTCCCATCAAATCGCGTCGGTCACACGATGGAAAATATTTTTTTAACCTTCGAAAGTTGAAGAACTTTCCCGCAACTTGCGCGTCCTTCAATGGTAGACGCACCATCCAAATATTCTGAAAATATTTTACATTCTCGGTCAATTTATTCAACGGAGGTACGTGGTTTTTCACTAAGAATTGCATCAATACCAACGAATTCGGAAAAGTCTCAGCATAAATAAAGTGTTGTTACCTTCCGGACATAGTATCGCAAGCGCCATGCGACGTTTAAAAATGTCCGTCACCATTTTATTTTTTTACAGAGATATTTTTCAACGAAGCTGTCCGAGAATTTCACTGAATTCTTTTTGTGGTCCCGGTAAAATTCAGAGAAATTTTCCAACAGATTCAACCAACAATTTCTCTGTAGAAAAATAAAATGACGGCGGCATGAACATTTTGAAACGTCACATGGCGCTTGTGATACTGTGGCCGGAAGGTGAAGGGTTAGTGCCGCCAATAATTTTTTCGAATTTTGCTGTTTTATCTTCTTCTGTTTCAAAAGCAAGTAGTAATAAAAATTGAATAAATATCCGTCACGGCAATAATATGGTGAAGCCGTTGCGATCAGCTGATGAAGTTCCCGTTTTTGAATGAACTTTTCACTGGATTCCCTAGAATGACCGATTGAAGCCGTAGATGTCGCAAACAACTTGCTCTTTTAGCTTTAATATAAGATCTCTCTCTCTCTTTAGCGCTATAAATGGGCAGTCGCACTAGTCCGGTAATTTACAACAGCTTCTTTCATCCGAGTCTCGTATGGCCTTCGCACGAAAGTTTCAAAATACACATTCTTTGATGCAATCAGCTCATTGCCTCACGCTACCCTTTAAGTTCTTAGTGCACTACAAGGCGTAGGCTTGAATTATGTATTCCAATACAAAAATTGCGATGTATTTCCCCTCTAAGTCAAGTAAGTAAAGAAATAATTAAAAAATCGCCGAAGAAGTCTGCTAAGGATTACCTCAAATATATGTGTACCTGCGGGCTGATTGTTGCAATATTGACAGACAACCTCCAGGAACCAAGAACCTCCCAAGATCATCGATGCATCTGAAACGATTCGATGAATTGATTGTTGGTTCGTGTAGGGTCGGTTCATGTAAGGAGATGAGCCTTATTTCATTCCAGGCCGGATGTAAATTATCAGTCCTTGGGGTGGTGTTAAGTTTTCGTTGGGTCTTAC